AAGACAAAGCCTATTGCCTTCAAAACTAACCATAAGGCCACCACACTACCAAACAAAAAAATAAAAACATTATCTAAATGAAGACACAATTTGTAAACATCACTTTCTCCTAAAAGTCCTATTTCACTTGTAGAGAGAGCTCACAGGAAGAGGCAGAATGAAGACCTCAGATAACACAGGGGAGAGATAACCTGTTCAACACAGGAAGTTAAGAGTCACTACAAATATAACCTAGAAGCACCCTCTGAGGATGACTGAAAACATTCATGAGTGCATATGCACACATAGGCATACACATGCACACAACACACAACACCTACATACATATGTGTGTGCACAAAACACATATATATGCACTCATATGAACACACAACACATGCACACATGTGTACGCACAACACATACATGCATGCACACACAACACATACACATGCATGTGCACACACAATACACACACATGCATTGTGTACATACATGCACACAAAGAGGCAGGAAAACAGATGTCACTGAAACAGACTAAACAAAGGGTGACAGAATAATGACAGCTTCCTACCCTATGTGTGCTGCCTAAAAGGAAAAAGATGTCAAAACCTTTTAAAACTGAATTACAGTCAAAACGTTTTTGAAAAAGTAAGGAAAAACTAGATTTTAAAGCTATACCTGATCTTACATTTAAAAAGTTAAATATGGCTTCTCTGTTGGATACAAAGAATTAAAAATTATTTTGCAGTTCAAAAAAGTAATCCTCCAGCAGTTAACTACTGTGACTCTCCCCTGTAAAGCCCATGACAAATGGGCCTTCTGAACAGGAGGAAATGGGAGTTACCCAAGATCATGACCCAGGCCTCCTCTACAGTGCACACGGAGGCCCACAGAAAGACAGCAAGGAGGAACAGCCAGACCACGCTCTCCAGATGAGAGACACCAGTGTTTCTTCTCTCGTCATGCAGGGAGCAACACACTAGCCCAGTCACCTGGGAGAGGCCAGTCACATTCGCCATCTTCCTGTCTTTACTTGCCCAGCCCCATGGTGAGCACCAACGAGTTTTTCCATTTCTGGATCGCAAGACAGGAGATACTGGGAATGGGAGGGAAGATTACCAAACAAGCATGGTAAGTAGGCACTCTACCACTCAGCTACACCCCCAAATCCTGAAGACTGATTTGGTAAAGCAGTATCTTTTTTATAGACCTATTATTACAATTTTGCAACACAGATGAATTTCTGTCTTCCATCAGAGTACAGAAAAAAATAAGTTTGATTTATTTAAAGTTCAAAGATATCATCTGTTGGTTTTGAAAGTGGAATTTCATTAAGAGGTCACTTTCTATTCCATCTGTTATTAGAATTAAAATATTTTTAGCCAGGTATATAGCTCAGCAGCATAAGAATCTACCTGGCATCACTTCTCAGCCTTTTGGCTAAGACCAAAAGCCTACCTACCGTGGATAAGGTCCTGAGTTCAATTCCTGATACCGAAAGGCAGGTACCCAAAAGACAGCCCATATATTCTTTCAAAAGCAATCATTTTAAGTTAGCATTTGGTGTTAAGAAAGACATTAATTTTCAATAAGAAAAGAAAATCAGCCTATAGAATGATCTCATCCAAAAATTACTTTATATTCCTATAAATAAATAAGTACATGTATGAAAATCTCCACTATCCTGTTTTAAATAAAATATTAGAACATGTTTGATATTGGTATTTCAATGATGCCAAATACAGACCTAGTAGTTACACATGTAATAATGTACAATGCAACTTTATCATCTGAAGACATATTTCTCTAAAAAAGATCACAAATAGACCTAACGTATTTCAGGCAAGGTGAAAGAGAAGCCATTATCCCTTCCAAAACAGAACTGCACCTTTGTTGACAAAGTCAAAGACTTCCTGAAATAGGCGCAAGGTAACACACACCTACAAGGGCAGGCTTCCCTCAGTGACCACAAAGGGGAAAAGCACGTAAACAACTCCCCTTCCTCCAGCTCCTGCACTCAGCAGGATGCTCCAGAGTCTGAGCTCTGCCTTCAGGGCCGGCTGACAAACTGGAAACAAGACGGCCTGTCCTGTGTTGCACTGTGGCCCCCAAAGATCCTAACCAGCAAAACCTGTGACTGTGGTCTACAGGAAACAGACCCTCAGCAAATGCAGCAAAGTTAAACGAGCCCCTGGGGTGGGCTCCCATCCAGTGACAACGTCCTCAGAACATGAAGGAAGCTTGGACACCGAGACACAGAGGACAGACAGCCAGTAAGGAGACTGGGATGGGATTGCTGCTCACTGAGGAAGGTCTACGGGTGCTAGGACTAAGCCTACCTAGTGGCTTTGGAGAGAGGATGGCCCTGCCTATACTTGACTTGGAATTCCTAGGTTCTGGGACTGTACAGAAATAAACTGTCATTTTAAACCACTAGTTTGCAGTATTTCATTATAGCAACCCTGAGAAACTTAGTCACCATGTTGGAGAGATATAATAGAGGAGGCGAAAGGTCAGGGTGCTAGGAGATGGGACTTTGTATACTAACTTGCAGTTTATTATCTCTTAAAGGACACTGGCTTCAGAAATTCCCATACAGTCACTCTATCCTCATGTACCCAGTGTCTAGTGAGAGCAGGCCCCTTGCTATAATGCACTGAGAAGAAGACCTCGTTCTCTGGAGCAGTGCCACTGCTCCCAGTGGAAAGGAAGGTACTAGAAAAATAAATGCAGAGATGAATAATATAATTAAAGATACATCTTAACCCAAAAGGTTAAGTCATTTGTCAACACGTTACAGAGATTAAAACTTGACAGCTAAAGATCATCTATGCTGTACCAAGAATAAATTCTTTCTTGGCATAAGACTATGCTAAGAATGAAAATGCTTCATCTATAGGGCTGATGGTATCACTCAGTGGTAGAGCACTTGCCTGATAAGTGCAATGCCCTGGGTTCCACCCCCAGTATCACAAAAAAGTAAAGGAAAATAAAATAAATGCTTCACCCAGGTAAGGTCCCAAGTTACGCTCAGAACCCGGGCAAGGTATAAAAATAGGCACTGAACACGAAAGCCCCCAACTAAATAGGAGTTTAGTCGGCTTCTCTATTTCAATAACTGAAGCTTCTTTAGCTTTCTGAGAATTAGATGCAGCATAAAACTCATTTTAATACACTAATTAAATATAAACTGTGAGCATTGGTCTTTAGGAGAAATGATGTAGTAATCCAAAATCTTACGCCCAACAATGCAGCAGAAAGAATATTTTTAACTAAAAACATCTTTCAGAAGTATCATAATTTAGATCAAAAACTGACAAAATATACTTTCAAAAAGAAGCTGAAATTGAATTGTGCAGAAGATAAGAACTAAAATCTCAGGGCATCATAGGCACATTGGGAAAATTCTAACATTTTAATACAACTACCATCCTCCACTAAATTTCACAAGTATAGATTGTAGTATAGATTGCAAGTATAGATCGTATAGACGGTAGTTTCGCAATTGCTCATAAATACACTTCTTTCTGTGATTTGACAAGCCTTGCCAAGCAGAGCTGCTGTCTCTAGCACAGGCTGATTGAGGAACTTGCTCTTCCCAGACAGCATTGAGGGGAGCGAGCAGACAGTCACCTGAGGTACTAAACTCAAAAGCATCCCTGGGGACCAGAAGCAGAGTCAGCCTCCGGCCAGCCATCTCCATTTCTCAAGCCAGCATTCTACTGTGGGATTCCTCTCTCTGCTCTCCAAATGCCATGCTTCTTGGTGAGCACAGTGCCAGTGTTACCGTAAGAGTCTACAACAGCGTTCCCTGCACACCAAGCCCAGACCCCTTACCTGCAGGACACACGAGAGAAAAGACAGTGGTGCCTTGGTTCACAAACACTGTCATTTGCAGACAATTTGGTTTACAAACCAAATTTGACAAAAGTTTGTTCTTGTTAGCAAAGTCTGCACTGGGTGACAAACATGACCATGACCATCTTTCCTGCACCAACACAAATGTGGCCTGGCCATCTTTTCCAGAATCATGGAATGAATTAAGTTCATGAACCAAGGCACCACCATAACGGCACATCCTGTGTCTTTACTGCCCGGAACTTGAGGCTAATTTAGTGCCCCAGACCTCTCCTACGTGTCAGGGAATTTCACCTTTACCACAGACATTACAATTTGGCATGAATTTCCCACTCTTACTAAAGGGACTATCTCCAAATAGGGGAAATACTAACCCAGAGATCCTATAAGAAACATTAACTCAGCACTAACAAACAGAGCCATGTTATGAAAATGGAGAATGTGATCATTATGTATATCTAAATTGTACCAATAAACTTAACTTTAAAAAAAGAAAAGAAAATGGAACATACATTAAAACTTCCATCCAAAGAAAGCTGGTAGGAAAACTCTACTTCTCCATTTAAACCCAGCACTCCCAGTCAAGCCCAAACACTGAAAGAGTCTGCAGCACTCTTTTTAAATGCTGATGCCAGGTCTGTCCCATATCAACTTAATTCAAATCACTACCAGAAGGACTCAGGCACCAGGGCTCAGGACAAGCTCTCCAGGTCATTCCAGTGTTGGGGGTAGCTTCAAATCACTCATCTACCCCAGGGGTCTGCAAGCTGTGAAGGGTGGCGCCATAAATGCTTCAGGTTTCTGGGCCACTTAGTCTTTTATCCCACTTTAATCTGCTGCAGGAGCCCAAAAGGAGCCTTGAACAGCACATAAATGAGTGGGCGTGGCCAGGTTACCACACGGCTCAAGAAGACTAAAATTTGGAATTTTAAATAACTTCTACACATCATTCAATATTCTTTTCTTTAATATCTAAAAATGTAACCTGTGGTTTGATTTTGGGTCCTATGAAAACAAGTAGCAGACAAATGTGGCTCTCCCAGACTCCAGCAACACCTGATCTACTCTGCAGACTGAACAAACTTCTATTGAATTTTCTTGAACATTTGATCAGTGATTCCCTATCAGTCCCAGAAACCTCCCCTTCAAGGCATGGATACCTTCAGATTCGAGCTGTTCCAGGCCATAGGAGGGGGCTATGCTTGCACTGCTCCTGAATGGAAGTGTTCCCTCCGAGGAGGCCTCTGGAGCAGACGGTGCCAGGAAAGAGCCAGTCTCCTCCTCCACCATTCCAGCAGGTGTCATTGAAAAGCCCCGCACCGGTATGAACTCCTCGTTCGGCAACGTGACTGCATCCATGAAGCCTGCCAAACACAAGACAGGACATGACCCACCGACGGCCACTGCAGAGAGTGTAGACAGGTGCTTGCACTTTTCAGGCAAGAAACGACAAACGACACCCACAGCTCACATGCAGTGAGGGTGGCACACAGACCAGCTCCTCCCTCCCACATCGCAGTCACAGAACCCACAGCAAACACTTCAGCAGCCAGGAAAATATGCTGTCCTACACTGGAACCTTGCTTTTAAATTTCAGTCTCCTGCCAGGGACATAGCTCAGCAGCACAGTGCCTGCCTGGCAAGCATAAGGTCCTGAGTTCAATTCCCAGTACCAAAATTAATTGATTAATTAATTTCGATCCTCCATTGGTTGTATTAACAATGTAATGGATGTGGCAGAGTTTTATATAATGTGTTACCAAAGGTAGAAAATTTAACAAAAATATTAAAACATATCCCAATGACTACTTTGAAAAGACAAACTATGTTTCTCGAAGTAATGCCTAAGTAGGAGCCTACATCTGTACTGGTAATGTGTTTAATTTCAACACATTCAATGATATAAAACTAGGGCCACGGTACCCTAAGTCTAAGACTCTCAAACGGGAGTAGCTTGAAAATCTGGTTGATTATCAGAATAGATGGAGGTAATTTTTAAAATGTGCATTCTTATCCACACACCTCAAATATCTAAATTAGAAGCTGCTCGGCCTGAGAAGTGTTTTTACAAAAGCTCCCAGAGTTTGGCACAGTGGCACACCTCTGTCATTCCAGCTAGTCAAGAGGCTGAGGCAGTAGGACCACAAATTCAATGCCAGTTTGGACAACTTAGCAAGACCCATCTTAAAATGGGAGATAAAAGACCTTGATATGTAGCTCAGTGGTAGTGCACCACTGCCTTTATTCTTTAAAAAAAAAACCCTACCAGGACGTGGATCCATAGGATCTCCTATTCTGGTGGGTGTATAAATTATTACATCCACTTGGAAAACATGCAGTAGCTGCAGCAGTGCCCAACACCTGCAGGTCAGCACTTATACAGCTAGGACTCACTCCCAGGAGAAACTCTTGATTGTGCAATGGGAACATGCACAGGATACTCCTGGGTGTGGTAACCACAACAGCCAAAGCCAGAAAGGACCCAAATACAAAGCAGCAAGAGAGTGGATAAACACACTATGGTGAGTTTTCCTTACGCAGCAGTGAAAACAAAAGAACTACAGGATGTGGATCTCAGTTACAGAACAGTAAGTCCAAACTGTAGTCCCAAGAAGCTCATCTATGATACATTACTTCTTTGTATAATGTTAAAAACAAACTTTAAAATGTAAGAATATGAATGCAATAAAACTTTTTCAGAAGAATGGAAAAGGACCTATGGGAACAGGGTTCAGAATGCCCAGCAGCCAGGACAGGGAAGGCTCAGACACAAAGGGTCTCTGTTTATGTGGGTTACTGTCCAGGACCCAGGTTTTGCTGCCTGGTTTGTGGGTAAAGAAGGGGGAATGGATTAGAAAGTATTCAGTACATGGTTGAAAATAAATATGTACAAAATATATACAAAAAGTAGGCCTTACTTAGAGCAATGATTAAAAAAAAGATACAAAGTACAAAAACATTGCTTAAATATTAATTTTTTAACTCCCAAGAGAGTATAATACTGAACCAAATTTGAAAATTCCATTGCTCTTAAATGATCAAACATTTAAGGACCCACTAGATAGAAAGCACTTTGCGCACTATTGCAAAGCTCTCCACAATGGCCTGTGAGTCAGGGAGGCATTAGTTACAAGCCAAGTCTTACAGGAGGGAAAAAGCTTGAAGCCACACACTCCAGGTGGGACTCAAACCCAGGTCCTTGAAGTAAAAGTAGACTGTGGAAGACCCTGAGATGAGCCACCTTACAGGCTGTGCCACATCTTGGCAAGTGAGAGAGGTACCCTATTGTCTGGACAGAGTGTGTGCACACCAGGAGAACCAGCTGCCTCTCTCATTCTCTTGGGACTTAAAGAAAAGAGCCATCCCAAAACATTGCACCCAAGTCCTGCCCTTACTGACCTTCTGCAGCTGGGATGACTTCAGGGGACAGAGGGGTCACTGCAGTTGAAGCCTCAGTGGCCAGAGGCCCCCATCCTCTGGAGAGTTGAGTCACACCAGGAGCATCAGACACAGGAGAAGGTGCCTCTGTGGCTGTGGCTTCCTCACGGTCCCCGTGGACTCTGGGAACCTCCAGGGCAGAAACCTGCTCTTGCATCTCAAAGAGTGGAGAGGCCGATGGTTCTTGAGCAGCCGTTGTCATTTCTTGAATGATGATGTCTTTAAAAGGGGAAATATTTAAAATAGACCCAGTCCTTAAAGTCACCACGTAATTAACAAATCAAAACAAAACAAGCTGGTAGCTATTCTAGGGACTGCAAAACAGAGACAAAACTCAGAAACAGAAGTCCAGAAAGTAAACCTTGTCACTGTTGCTGCTTTTAGGACCTGTGAGTTCATCTCAAACAGAAGTAAAGAAATTAAATTAAAAAAAAAAAAACAACTAAAATGCAAAGCAAAGTAGGAGACTCAACAGCTTAATACTAACATCATCGGTTTGCCAAGAGACAAGTTCTACAAAACTAAGTTATAGCCAAAAATTCTCAGAGGCATTCGTCTGCATTTCTGAAAAGGAAAAGGAAGTTGATATTTTAAGTAGCAATGGCAGTAACCCATGTTCCACGGATTTCTGATGTGCGCCCTACACGCCCAGCACTAAGTGCGCAGTGCACATTAATTTAGTTCATCCTCCCCTACATCTAACACGAGGTGGCACCAGTGTCATCTCATGGAGCTGAGTATCACGGTGGTCAAGAAGGTAAGCTATGGAGCCAGGCTCCCTGCATCCGGAGTCTCGTTCCATGGGCCTGAACAAATTACTTAACATTTCTGGGCCTTCCGTTTCCTCAACTATCAAATGGAGAAAATAATAGCACGCATCGCACAGAATTGTTACGAAGATCATAAATGTGATCGTGCTGTAAAACACTTAGTGCATGCCCAGTACATTGGTTAGTAGTACATAAACATTAGGCATTAGTACCCCGTTTCATAAAATAACTTAGGTTGCGAAGCACTGCGGAGCCTGCCATGCCTGGGCAGCGTGCACCACATTAACTGTGCCAACGCTGCAGTTTGGAGAGGCCTCTCCAGGAGTTTAGCACCTGCTGAGACCCAAAAAGGAACAGAACAGAGCTACATAACATGCCGTCACCACCCTAGCCTGCCTGCCTGCCTTCCAACACAACATCCCCAATACACTACTGAGCCGAGACAGTATACTATAAGGATCAAACTTCACAGCCTTCTTAGGAAGGAGTCTATGCTGGAAATGTCAAATACCTACCACTACCAAAAAATGTAAGAGACACCTTATTATTTCTCTCTTTGAATACCAATTCTGGATACACAGCATAGCAGCAAGTTCAGTAAGTCAGACAATGAAAAATAATAGTCTGGGATAACTGGGGAAAGTTTCCTCTAAGTTTTCATCAGGGCCATCATGGTACATAATTTCAAATTTATTTTTCTTGAAGGTGATCTATTTGCTTGAGAACAGAGTGTTTCAGTAAAAACACTTCCTTTTTTTGGAAACCCAGTCAGTTTATATCATTTTGTTTTGTTTTGTTTTGTTTTCCTTTGCATTGAGGGCTTTTTACATCCTGCAGTCAGAGGACAAAGTGAACCAGGGTAAAATGTTTCACCTGAGCTTCCAGTTTGTTCTTTCTACCATTATATTAACTGATCTTTCTTTTTCTTTCTTTCTCAAGGAAGATTACAAACATCCTAAGAACCAGGATCATTTTCCTTTTGTATCTTTGGCAGCTGGGATAATGCTTTATTTACCACAAGATGACTAACATACAGTTTTAGCGTTGTTAAGTAGTAAGTGTTCTTCATATTGTCCTCACTTTTAACAGCACATATTTAGCAGTTACATATTTGATAATATATAAAAAGTCATATACAGTCCATGTTCATATAGACAGCAAGAAATGCCAAAGTGTTTTATGAGACACTAAGAAATGTCAAAAAATGCATACACCGGACCAAGTGATGACTTTAGGGAAAAGAGTGTGAACTAGAAATATTAATGGGAATGTTTTTAATAACATTCAAAATTTCCCAACCTCTCTCATTCTTCCAACTTCCTAGAGAGACAAAAGAATGTAATACTCATGATAGATTATTTTTCAAACCTTAGTTGAACTAACTAATGAACTAGCTGAATCAGAGGACTATGATCTTAGGATAATAATCTGTTAATAACAGACAAAATACCAAGAAATCATTGCATACCCTTAAAAAGATAATACCCTGAGTGATCTCTGGACTCTAAAATAATAGTTATTTTAGTTCTTTCCTTCAAAAATACTTATAAATCCAGGTGTGGTGACATACACCTATAATCCCAGCACTCAGGAGGCTGAAGCAGGAGGATCACCAAGAGTTCAAGGTGAGCCTGAACTACATGGTGGTTTCAAGGTCACCCTGAACTACATAATGAGATCCTGTCTCCAAAAATGAATTAGACATGCAAAATTCAATTGTCCTTTTCTCATTTACCAATTAATCTTTTGTCATTTTAATTGAATCCCAACAACACTTTATAAAACATTACAAATTTTATATTTCCATTCATTGGGCTACTTGGCTGAAATGATATATTGTAACTGTCCCAAAACAATTTGAAATGAGATGCACACTTTATACTAAGATTTTCCTTCTTGATGCTATTATCTGACCAACTACACATTAAAAAAAAATTAACCAGTAAAACAAATACGAGGCATGTGAGCTTATATCCACAGGTGAAAGGCTATGAAAAAGTAAAAAACTGGGGGCGGGGGATTTAGCTCAGCGGCATAAGTGCCTGTCTTGCAAGCAGGCAGTCGTGAGATTGATTCCCGGTACCGATAAAAAGAAAAAAGACCAAAAAAAAAAAAAAAAAAAGAAAAAGTAAAAAACACAAAATCAATCGAGCAGATGATTTATCTTTCTTCCTCTTATGTCCTAATGATTTACTTTTGGGTAAATAAAGTCAGAGAACTCATGTGGTTGGTACTATTTGATAAATATTTGCCTAAAGCTTTTTAGTAAAAAATATTAGAGAAGTGAGTGTATTTTATAACATATAAACATATAACTTCCACTATTCAAGATACTAAACATATAGCTAATGCTTTCATATTTTCCTGTAGAGTTACGTGTTTTCACAGCAAAGTGATCTTTCGACCTCAATGCTGTTGACATACTGACTCAATGACTTCATTATTGGGGCTGCTTCATGCATGTTAGGTTGTGCCACAGCATTCTTGGGCCTCTGCCCACTAAGACGCCAGTGCCCACCCTCAGTTGTAACAATTAAAATGGTTTCAAATGCTGGTAAATGTACCATGGGGACGGAAGGGGAGAGGCAGGAACTATCCTCAGCTGGAGACTGCAGGTCAATATGAAGGGGTAAGTTTTATATGAAATACATGATCTACTGGAACACTTGCTTTTCATTAAACTTTAACAACCCGTTCTAAATTGCCTTTAAAAATGAAAACATTCCAAGGGCCTGGGGATTTAGCTCAGCAGCATAAGCTCCTTCCTTGCAAGTGTGCGGTCGTGAGTTCGATCCCTGGTACCAATAAAAACAAAAAAGACCAAAAAAAAAAAAAAATGAAAACATTCCAAATTAAACAAAGTTTGTTTCTCTTCTTTTTCCACTTTCCTTTACCTTTCAACATGTGCCCCCGCAGCCGATCGGCCTCCGACTGGTACTCTGATGCAGATGCAGTCGTCTTTCCCAGGAGCTCAGTGCTCTCTTCCTTGGTGGAATCCATGACACCTTCAGCTCCTTGGAACACGCTCTCCTGGGAGAGCTCTGGACCTCCCAACAGGCTCATGGGAGCAGAGGAACTGGCCTGGGTGGCAGCAGGAAATCTCATGTCCCCCTGTGAAGTCGGCAGTGCTGGGCCCAGCAGTGCTTCCCCTTCTGGCAACCCCAGAGCTACCTCCACCACCTCTGTCACCTCTGGACTATCTCCTTTTGGAGCCCTTGTCTGGCTTCCACTCTCTAGTTTGGTTTCATCCCATTCTTCACTTAATACAGAGGTGGCTGGGACAGTTGAGCTGACGCGCACCGTGCTTTCTGCGGCTCCCAGCAGGCTGTCAGTTTCCAGCTCCACACTAAGGGTATACACAGCAGTTGGCACCAACAAGTGCTGGGTGGCAGTGGCCTGGGTACTATCAGCTGTCATCTGTGAAGTCTTCTCCCCATTAGGTGTGAGGCTTCTGGGTACAGTGTCTGCTGTGGACTCAGCACCAGGAAAAGTTGGTGTTCTCTGGTCTGTGGCTGCTTCAAGTTTCTCCATTCTTGAACTGCTGGTTTGCATTTCTTCAGTGTCCATACAAGATGAAGGTGTAGGTCCCAAACTACCTCCCTTCTGATTCTCAGATGCAAACAACTGGTTATCCACATATGTCAGGAAACTCTGTGCTGCTTCTGTAGTCCCTTCCCCAAAGGGCTGACTGCGGCTACTGCTCAAAGGTTCCTCCTCATCAGGACTCAGAGAAGCAGCTGCAGGGAGTGTGGTGGTGAGCATGGCCTTGGAAAGCTTGCTCTCAGCAGACAGGCCCTCTAGTTGGCTGGAACCAAACGTGTCCTCACCTGCTGGGACCTCTAGCTCAGCAGCAGTGTAAAGCCCAGCACTGCCTGACTGCAGGAGCCCAGCTCTAGTAGGCTGGGTTTCTTTGCTGCTCAAGAGGATTTTATTTAGTGACACTGCTGATGGTTCTGGGGGGGCTATTATTGCATCCTCAGAGGACGGCAGTTGGGGGGTCTGCTCTGGAGTCATGGAGCTATTTTCCAGGTCACCTGCACCAATCCTCTCAGGCTGCTCTTGCTCTCTTTGGGGGAAGGCCAGACATTGTGTAGCAAAGCTAAGAAACAGAAAGCTCCCAAAAGCCAGACCAAGGTGCAAGGCAGCTGATCTGCTCATAGTGGAAGAGAAATGTGCACAGAAATTGGCAGAGCTGACAATTCCAGCAATCGAGTCCTGCAGAAAAATAGAGCACATCAAACTGTCATAGACACATAGTTTATAAGCTCCTTGAAATGGAACTGTAAGTAAACCAATCTCCTTGACTTCACAAACAGAGAAGGCAGGTAGGGAAGGGCTGTTCTATTTTTCTGCTCCCTTGAGACATGGATAACCCAGTTCATTTTTCCCTGCTGAATTCTTGCAGCTGATTTCTCTTGAGCTCCCTAGAAAAAGGTACATATAGTTCAAGTATTAGGTTCATTGTTTCTCATGCACCTACTTGAAATAAATTACCCTTGAAGTCACATTTGCAAATCCTCTCCAAATTCCTCCATTCATCCTCTGCTAATCCTCTATTAGAATCCCGAATTCCTCTCTTATTCTCCTATTAATCATGTAGAAAATAGAAAAATGTCCAGGACATAGGAAAAAAAGTTACACATTTATTCAAATAATTTTTTAAGCGTTATCACGGTTTGAAAATTTCCATCGCCCAAATCCATGTGTTGAAATCTAATCATGAAAGTGACGGTACTAAGAGCTGGAGCTCTGGGGAAGTGATGAGGGCCACAAAGCCAAAGTCCTGATTAACGAAATTAGAGCCCCTTAAGAGTCCCTGATGAGCCTCTCACCTCAGAAATTTCTCACTTTTCAGTCTGCAGCACCACATTCACAAAAATATCTCAGAGATGTGGTGAGTTCTCTAGAAAATTGAAAGTAGGACTTAAAATTCTAAAGCAAAAACTTTGCCTTTATAAATGGTACATTTTTTATTTCCTTCATGTCTAGTCATTAAACCCTCTAGATTAAATGCATGGCACACAAGTGAAATACAGAAATTCCATTTTCATGGTACCTTCTTCCCTTAGGGATTTCAGAACTGCCACACATTAATCCCATTTTGTTTCAAAGGCCCTTTCAAACATAAAATGGCTAAGTCCTCTGGGCATGATCTATATGACTCAAGACCAAATGAAGACTGGATTTCCTGCATAAAAACAGAGGAATATGTGGATTTAGAGCTTAGGCCTGCCAGCCACACAGACCAAGAGAGCAAGCTGCCTTGGAAGCAGAATTTCTAGCCCTCATCCTACCTTCCTGAGAGATCTGGAGTCAGACCACCCAGTTAAAACTACTCCCAAATTCCTGGTGCACAGAAATGGTATGAAATAACACACATGTATTATCAAGTTAAGCCACTTGTTGGGGTAACTTGTTGTACAAAAATCTTAAACCCACAGTGCTTTAAAGAAATACAGGAGCTGAGCACAATGGTGCATGCCTGTAATTCCAGCACTCAGAAGGCTGAGGCAGAAGGATCATTGTGAGTTTCACACCAGCCTGGGCTCTACAGTGAGCTCAAGGCCAGCCTGATCTGCATAGCGAGACCCTGTCTCAAAAGGACACACACACACACACACACACACACACACACACAAATAGGAACAGAAGAATGCAGGTGAGTTGTCATGATGCCATATGCAGAAAAGGAACAGCACATCAAGGATCATAAAGTAAACAGTAAAGGGGAATTGAATCTAGAGGTGACAGGATGAAACCTAAGTTTCCCAAGCACCCTAAAGGCTGGAAGAAGGACACCATCTCCCCACAGGTAGAGTGGGGATCTGAAACCCCCATTAAGTTAACCCCAAGCAGCTCCAGCCTCATTTTAAAAGGAGAACATATGGGAGAAATGACTGAGAAAGACAAATAGCACATCCTAGCACATCACTATCATGGATATCACTGTCCACTGAACAAAAGCACACCTGATGGTGGCCAGGACAGAGGACCACACAGTATCATGCTCACTGTCCATTTTCCTTCCTTAAGCAAAAACGTATGTGAGCTGTAAGGCAAAGTCACAGCCAGTAGCAAATGAACTATGAAACTATCTACATATCTGATGAGGCATAAAAGCTATAGACTCTGGTTCATATTGGATCTATTCAAATAGCTGTTTGTTCCTGAATAGATATTCACTAAACCTAACTAAACATCCCAGAAAAGAAAAGGTGTCACCTCAAAGATTGGTCTGCATGATCACATGCTTCAGACTAAAGCTGTAGAAACTGCAAGCCATCATGAATGGTGACAGAATTCAGAGGGACATGGGCTGCCATCGGAAAGATGGTTTCTGAATTTTAGTTTTCTTCTTATGTGATACCAAGCAACTGGCTTCTGGTTTACTTTTGACAAAATGAGGGTTAAACAAAATATCCTTTGAACTCTCCTCTGCCTGTGTGATTCTATGTTTATACCTCACCTATAGGAGAGAAAACAAAAAATATTCCTCCAAAACCACAATTTCACCATTCAGTAGGCGAGACACCCACAATGCTGCGCAAATGCTCTAGTCATGTGGGCTGGCAGAGGAATGTCATGAACAAAGAATAAAGACTCAATGCAGACCCAACCACCTTTCTGAACAAGGGTTTCCCCTCAAGGTCTTAGTTTCATCCACACCTGGAGTTTTAGAACTTTCGTGTGAAACAGATTCAGCTGTGCTCTAAATGACCTTCCCTCTGTGATTCCCCATCAGCCACCTGTTTTTCAAATCCAATTATGGAAGAAAAAGTGGGATGAACCACAAGCCTTTTCTGGTCTCTGTACTGAGGCCATATGCTCCTTCTTCCCATTATTCAAAGCAATGCCTGAACTCTGAAAGGAGAAAAGACAGCCCCCTAATGGGGGTTGCATTACATTAGAAAACTAAGAAAAGAATGGCCACGGTCAATTCAATGACAATATTCCTAACCCTAAATTACCATCTGCAGCCACATTTTAAAGACCATGCATCTTTTCTCTTTCCCTCAAAACTATCGCCTGTGAGGCCACCTGCTCAGCTTCGAAGAAATGCTTAGTAAATACTCACTGAACAAACAGATAAATGTCTGCAGCCTGCTTTGGTGGTAGAAATGGAAGAAAGATTTCATTGCTTCTTAGGATTCTGTGTCTTCTATTAAACTAACTGAGCCATAAGAATATTTAATACAAATACAAAAGAACACTTCTCTTACGTTCCCCTTACACTGTGCCTTTAGCTCAGCCTCTCTTCTTTTCACTTGATCTGTCAGTGCAAATTAATTCAGATAAACTCTAGCTCAATGTTTAACAGATAATGGACATTAGCTTTGAGCAGTTTAAAAAGCATCCCTTTCAGAGCAAGTCAGCAGCACTTGGGCTATCATGTGCTATCAAGGTGCCCTAATGGCTTGGCAGTCCCCTGTACAATTTACATTTCTGCCACCAGCAGGTAGATAAGCTGTCCTGTCAAGCATTATCTTTGACAATCTTAAACACACACAGCCCAGAATCTGTGTCTTTTCCAAGTCCAGAAATGTTCAAGTTCCAAAGACAAATGAAAGACAACATTTTTTTTTAAAAAAAGCCTTAGACTTAAAAATCCAATTTTCTAAACACTTAGTTAACACTTTTCCCATTAAATTTAATACTGCTGTTTTAGGGTGCTACCAAAATGAAGACTCAAAAGGGAAACCAGCGTGATGAAACATTTTCATCATGACAAAGCTATCTCCAAGGTAAACTGAGTTTCATGCAAAATGTAGAGAGAAAATGAGCATTACCCTAAGAATAGAAACTGGTGAAAATTTGCCTGTTTTCCTCTCTCCTGATACATGCAACTGCTGTAAATAGCTGGTGTGGGTGGAGAAAAAAAGACATCTATTTTCAGATTCACTGTCTTCTGAAAAGTCAGTGGAGGTGAGCCTTTTCTAGTCTGTATACTGAGACCATATGTTCCTTGTACCCATGATTCAAAGCAACCCTTGAACTTAAAAGGAGGAGAAAAGACAGCTTGTAGGAATGGTGGCAGCAAACACAACTGCAACCCAGATAAACTAGTAGATAGGTGGCTTCAAGTTCCAGGTCTTTCATCGTCTTTTAAAGCCCAGAATTTATTTGGTTGTCAACCATCTTCTTCATCTAAGCTGAGGTGTCACCATGAACTCTTCTTTTATAGTCTTGATTCACAACTTGTATAAAGTCTTCCCTTACACTCTCTCCTGGAATTGTCCCTCAGGCCTCTTCACTGGATTGTCATTATTTTAATTGCCACTTAGTTGGCCATCCTTGTACACACTCACTCCTCTTTAATCCAGTTGATACAATCCAGATGGTTTATGCTTAAGGGTAACAATGACAAGAAGCAACCAAAAATGGCTTCCGCGGCCAGGTGAGATGCTGCATTCCTGTAAAGCCAGCATTCGGAAGGCTGAGGCAGGAGAATCCTTGCCAGTTCAAGACCAGCCTGTGCTACAAAATGAGTCCAAGGCCAGCCTGAACTGTATAGTGAGACCCTGTCTCAAAAACACAAAAACAGAAGAAAAAAAAAAGGCTACCACTTAGAAACTGCTCTCTGTCCCATGTTGTAGCTTGCCTTGCAGAACTTTTCAATCCTCACGACAACCTAATATGGCAGACACTACCACTGTCCCCAGGCTTACAGAGAATAATCAACTTGCCTGAGTGACAGTATCCGTTTTTGATCTTTTCATCTTGTCAAACTTCAAGGTTCCTGCTTATGATAGTTTGGAGCAAACACTGGCCTCCAAAAGGCTCATATGTTCAAAGGTGTGGCTTCAGGAAAGGTGAGGAGATTGTGGGAGTGGTACCCGAATAGTGGATTAATCCACTGGTAAATTCACAGCTGAATGAATTACGGTGGGGGAAGGCAATTAGAGGAAGCAGGTCATTGGTGGCATGCCTGTGAAGGATACGCCTTGTCCCTGGGGTCTCCTTTTCTCTCTGCTTCCCAGCTGCCACAAAGTGAGCAGCTTTACCCTACCATGCCCTTCCACCATGATGCTTCTACCAGGAGCAGCCAATGACTGTGAACTAAACCTCCAAAACTATGAGCCAAAACAACCCTTTTCTCCTTTAAAGTGTTTAAGTCATGTCTTTATTCAGGTCACAAAAAGCAAACACACTGCTTCTGACACCACAAACTCTCTACTTCCAAAATACACCATCACGTATCACCCCAAACAGAAAGCTGCCGAACCCCACATATATAATGCGAACTCCATGGTATCAGAGCCAAGTGCACAGACACTTGCCACGCTCATTTTAGGCTATTAAGTGTTGCCATAGCACCCCAGTACCCCAACACCTCCTCTTCTTCCCTGTCCCAGATATCAAAACCCAGGTCCCCAGTAACAGCTGCCATAAAAAATGACAGACACATTAGCATCCCACCCTTGTTCCAGCTCCTCTAGCACAAATCGTCATGTTTGTCAAGTCTCATCAACTTGGTACAAGATTAGGATTCTCCCACATAAACACTGGTCTGCTTCCTTTGTTCATCTTATATCTAACGAGAGAGGTAGTCAATAAATACTTGCTGGCATGAAGTGAATATAAATGATCATTAATAACAAGAAAAATAATGTCGTGAGTTTCTCTTTTGTACTAGAAAATTATCAATGACATTTCATGATCTATCCTTATCTAATTGTTTATTTTGCCCAGCATCTGGCCAATTCTGGTTATTCGATGTGTTGTTTTAATAACAGCACTAACTTGTGTATTCTTATTCTGCTATATTTTAGGTTTCAGAGTTTATTTCACACATATACACACACAGGTTAAGTTACAAGTAATAAGTCTCAAGAGCTCAACTTGCTTCCGAATTACCACCTCAACTTTTAAAATCCAATTAGTGATGCTTTGATTGATAAGAGGAAAGGACACTGCTCCTTCCTGACTGGTGCCTTAATAATCTTTCCATTTTGTGCTTTTCTGGCTCCTCAATGATCCATTTGTCTTTGTCTTATCTTGTCTTTCTTTTTAATCCTTCAGGCTCTCCTTGTCAATACTATTTCATTTGTGCAAAGCTGAGTTTATCAAGACTCTGACCTTATTAGCCCAGCGGCAGCACACGGCATTAAAGTACCACACTCTTGATTCACTGTGCCATTGACAACTGTCACTGGTCTGTTATATTGGCTCTAAGATCTGGGCTGCAGCCATCCTGCACTATAAATTAAATGGCAGGGATGACAGATGATCTTTCCAGCAGTGTGTTCCATCACAGTGGAAGGAAGGAGAACCAAGTAACCACATTTAAAAAAGAAAAGTATGGTCCCCCAGAAAAGCAGCTCCTCCTGACAGGAATGAGGATGAAGAGGCCAGGGCCAAGATGCCTACTCTGGAAACTACCAGCAAAGTGCTTTCCCCTTTCCCCCTCCCTGCAGGCCACAGCTCACTGCTACACACTGAACCCAACAAGCTTCAGTCTCAACAATCTGATGATGCAAACAAATGAAGGTACCTGCATTTATCACCCCAAGCATGTCATCCTATCCCTGGCAGAAAAAAGCTGGACTTGAAGATTTTAAAATGGACTTCAAGTTCAAGCTCAAACATTGGCAAATGACTAAAGTTCAGTTTCTTTATGACAAAACAGCGCTAACAGTGCTCATACTAAATACTAACAATATTAATGTTCACCCTGTTTTCTTTGAAGGGTGAAGAGACAAAAATGACAACAAACATGAAAGGAGCTTAAAAATGCATGTTACAAGCACTATATATGACATGTAAGTGTGAAGCTGACAAGTCCCTCGAATTGCAGAAATGCAAGCAATGGAAGGCACCCATCACACAGGTCACAAACAGAATTCCCATTTCCCCTAGGTACCATCACAGAGCTCCCATCCCAGCTTTCACAGATGAGGCGACCTGCGTCCTCACTGTCTGCAGACTCCTGTCCTGCCCAGGCTTGATCACAAGTGGTTGTCTACTCACCAGCAAGCTCTTCCCCATGACTCATTCTGACACTTCATTTCTGTCCTTTGGGGCTCACAAACCTCATCTGCTCAGCAAGCTCTCTAAGCACCAGATACAGGGAAGCTGAGACTAGTCTCATACACTTTTCTTACAATCACCAACAAAACGCAATAGGGAAAAACAGGATTGATGCACACATTTTAATTAGAGAATGAGTTTTTAATCTTGCAGAGATTACTCCAGCGTCCTTATGTGCGAGTAAATAAAATTCAACTAACAAAAACACAATGCCTGGGCCAGGGATTTAGCTCAGCGGCATAGGTGCCTGCCTGGTAAGCATGAGGTCATAAGTTCGATCCCCAGTACCAAAAAAAAAAAAAAAAAAAAAAATGCAATGACATACACTACTTCTCAGGCCAACATTTAATAAATAATATACACTGTCAGAGTGAAATTTTTTTCCAGAAAGATAAATCCATCTTCATTTTGATCTTACATTTAATATCAAAACGTCTCTATAATGCCAAACTGTGACACGGTAATCGGGAAACATCAGGAATATAAAGAAGCCTCACATGAAAACAAAGACAATCCACAGCTCTTTAATTGGCCTTGTTGCCGAGGCTACCTTGGGCTTAGTGAGCCCTGGGACTCCTGAATAAAAAAGGCAAATCAGTATCTAGTCTAGTGATAAGTGGTTGGTTCCTTACTGTCAAACCCAAGAAGCTCCACTTCATTCATGAGAACACGTCAGAACACTCTTCAATCTCTACTAGGTGAACAGAGACGAATTCTGTCTGTGACACTTGACCCGGCAAGGGCGGCTTTGCAGCCAAGTGTGCAGAACCTGTGTACCAAAGATGCTTGGCTGAAGGGGGCCCCTGGGAGCCTCACAGCTTAGCTCGTGATCAAAGAAAAAAAAAGTGGGGAGGGGGGTGCTGACCACAATTTTCTTCCTCAAAGACTCTTTGAGCTCTACGGATAGTTTTGGGGATCACTTCTCCCTCCCCCTTAAGTTTCAAATTAAAACTTGCCCAGATAAAAGCAAGCGCTTTTAAGCAGCCTTGTGTGTTCTCTTCAAATCGGTTCTGCCCTGGGGTTAGGTGCCAGGATGCCGGCAGATCCTTGGGTAGGCTTGGAAAAGTAAGGACTTTTCATCCTTGAGAACCCCAAACTCTTGTGGGTCTTGCGTCTCGCCGACCCCTCCCTAGCCAGGGCGCCACAGGTTAGGAGCCCGCACAGATCGGCTGGGCAGCGAGCAGGGCGCGCGGGCGACGCGGGGGCCGCCTCGGCCCGGGGTCCCGCACAGCTCACCTCCTCCAAACCCCGCCCGCAGTCCCTCTCCGGCCAGGTGGCCTTTCCAAGAAGCACCCTCCAGCGCGACTGTCCGCGTCCTGCAAAGTAGCAGGGCGCAACTCAGCGCCCCGGAGGGAGGGAACGAGAAGGCGAGAGGGCGAGGAAGAAAGAAAAGCCACACAAAAGCGGCCAGCCCGGCGGCCCCGCCAGCACAAAGGCCCGCGGCCGGAGCGCACAGCCGAGGCGGGCTGAGGCCGGCGTGCCCCGCGCCCCGACCGCCGGCCGGCCACCCGCCCGCCCGCCCGCCCGCCCCAGGGCCGCTGCGCCCCGCGCCCCGCGCCCCGCGCCCAGCCCTCACCTGGCGCCCTCCGCCGAGCAGCGCCGGGGACCGCAGCCGCGCGCCCCGCACCGCCAGCCCGCACCGCCGCGCCCGAGCTCCTCCGCGGCCGCGGCCCGGGATTGGCCGGCGGGAGGCGCCCGCCCCGCCTGCGGGCGCCCGCACGCGACGCCCCTTCCCCTCCTCCCACGCCCCCGAGACGCCCTGCCCTGCCGCCCCGCGCCCCGGGCCCCCGCCCGCGGGTCTCGGTGGAGCCCCGAGCGCAGCCGGAGCTGGGGCTGCTCCGCGCGGGACTGTGGGCGGCGCGGCCGTGCGTACGCCAGGCCCCGCGGGGACGCTCGCCTGGACGGTCTCCGCGGCCTCGTGGAGAAGTTGAACCGGCGCCTGCAGCACGGCGCTCTCCAGCCTCCGCTGCTGCGGGGCGCGGGGCTGCTAAGCCTGCACCGCAACCCCAGAGAAAAGGCTGTGATCCCCGCTCGCTGGGGGCAGAGTTGAGGCCAAGGACCGCACGGTTTTAGGGCCGGTGTGACTGCTGGGCGTCCGTGTCCTGCAGTCCTGAGTCTCTCAAGGACACTTTCCGTTCTCCTAACTGTGAGCGCAAGGAGGTGTCAGGAATCCAAGGCCCACTCCGCGGCAACCCCACCCTCCCGCGCGCTCCTCACTGTGGTCAGTGCGGTTCGCGTGGTTATTTGTACACATTCTTAAGTAAGAGCAGTTGGCACCCAAGAGTGTATTAGCGTTGCCATACTGGAAAGGAAACTAATAGTTGTTGAATGCAGTGGGACTGAATTCATAAAAACTGGGCCATGCGTGTTCAGTGTGGAATGTCATGCAGTGCTGCACTACGACCAGGTCTGATGCTGGGTCTGACACCACCGCGTGATCAGTTACACCCAGCCTCGCCAAGTTAGGTTTTAACATGCTAAGTCAGTAGTTTGAAAGTCAAGCCTCATCTCTCATAAATACAATATCCTAGTGCGAAAAGGTCCCATCGAGGCCACAAAATTGGGTCCCCTCAGGTAAACAGAGCTACTAGTAAAAACAACGTGATGTAGGGAACAGAAGGACAAGCAGAATAGGACAGAGGGCAGGAGGAAGGGAGTCCAGCGCCCTGGCATTAATAGGGCCAGCCCACCAAAATTGAAGCGCTTCATTTCTTTGACATGTTCTGTCTCTCTTGTGCGTCCCATGCTGACAGTTTACTCTTCTCCATAGAGAACCAGTGGCCACACAATACGCAGGTCCCAGCTGCAGGGCACCGCTGCTGCTCAGATCTGCCTCCTGCTCAGATTGTCCTATCCAAGATCACCCTTCTCCACTTCAGGATTCCTTCATCTGTGCGGGAAAGTGATCCCACCCCAGATGGCTTGTACTTCTCTAAGCCCTTCTGGTTAACATAGCTTATCATAACTGCTGCTGTTGGTACCAGCAGAGAATAAGACCAATCCTTGCCCATGACACACACACAAATCATAGACAAGGAAAAATTATTTGCTGTGGGTCAGCTCAGTAAACCCACGTGACGAATGTTACTCATTTTTTATGAGTAAAACAAGATAGTGTGTGTGTGTGTGTGTGTGTGTGTGTAGCATTGTAACACCCAAAACTGTTACCAATTAATGTAACAGGAAAGGAAGTTCCCAGAAGCAGTTTGAGGCTGGCCAGATTTAGCAAATAAAAATGAAGCTGGTTAAATTTTAATTTCAAATAAACAACATGTAATTTTTAACATAAGCATGACCCAGATATTGTATGGGATATACTCCACCAACCTTTATTTATTCATTTCTCTACTTATTTAAGATAGGTAAAACAAGGTCCTGCTCAACGTGCGAGACGCATTTATGCTGAAATTCAAATTTAACTGGATTCTGCATCTTACCTGTTGACCCTGTCCCTATTAGCTTGTCATTTGGTCCTGATTGGTAAAGCCTTTGTGTCAGAAAGGGATTGGCCAGATGGTAGCGGAGAACAGCATAGCCAGTCTGGAGTGAGGCCTGCACAGTGCCCGTGCAAGTGCTGTCCAGAGGGAGATGTTGGAGTATTGCAGAGTCGGGGTGCACAGTGGAATTATCACTAAATTGTGTTGAAATACTTCACAGTCTGTCCATGGCTTTTCGTTCTGACTCTCCTGTGCCAAGAACCTGGCACTTTCCTTTCCCATGAACGTCCATGACCCGGGCCTCTGCTGAAGTGAGCTCGCCTGGCAACTCAGTCTTTATATGACTGTCTTTCTGGGTCGTGGGAGTGAAACTGTGGGAGTCTGCTCAGAGCAGAGCAACATCTGACCCCCGCAAAAATTGGGTTGCTGGTGTAGGGCTTAGGCCAAGCCCTGAGTGGGCTGTCTTCACCCAGCTACTTTGTAAGTACCTGACAGGCCTTCCCCCAACACTCTACTGTTTGCTGAGGATGCTTTTGTTTTGGTCTGTTCTGTTTGCAGTTACAATTATATCATCCACAGAACCTGGGGCAATAAAATAAAATAAATAAAAGAGGCATAGGAGGGAAAATCTTGCAATGCTGTTTACCTGAATCTCCCCAAGTCCCTTTCAATATTTCAATGCCTTTTCAATGTAGTGCTTTTTACAACTTTTAAAGGCCTTCGTTGGATCTTCTTGCTCCTCTTAGCCCCCCAAACCCCCAGCATGAGGCCAGCAGTGGAAGGACACGAGCTGCTGCATGGAAAGAGTGTTGCTTGCAAATCAGGTATCAAGGTCTTTTGAAAGATCACCTTCTTTTCCTGTTCTTCCTGACGGGTTATGACTGCAAGCTCTTTAGCATGGTGGAGGTTCTGAGCCCAACAACTGCCAAGTCTGACTCTCCAATGGCAACTTCCTGGGTGCTTCCGCAAGCTGGAATTCCCAGACTGTAAAATAGGATGAAGAACCCTCTCTCCTCACGTTGAGTATCCATAGGCAGCTGATTATGGTGATGGAGATAGAAATCACAGAAATGTTAGAATTAGTTTGGGTGATTTGATTGACTTTATTAATTTTGAAGGATTTTTCATTGTATTCAAGCCCCTTAGAACCCTTGACAGGATCTACCTTAAACTAGTTCAATGCCAGTGAAACTGACTGGTCATCTTGTACTAAATTATGTCTTTGGTATACAATTTATTGGCAAACAAGCAGAAAGAATAAATCCTATAATAAAACGGCTTTCCTAAATAAGAATTTGGAATAATGAACTTTACACACAAAAACCTTCTTGCTCTTCTCCAGAAAACCTATTATAATTGTAGAAGCGGAGTATTTTATGCATTTGATTCACCTCTAGAATGTGTCTTAATGTGAGCAAATGTGAGGCTAGTGTGAGTAATACTCTGGGTCCAAATCCCAAAAAAGAGAAAAAAGGGAACTACTCTTCATAATTCTCTGTTACCAAGCACTAGATTTATTTAGGCCCTGGACTTTCGGATAAATGAAGTTTTATCTGTTGCCTTGAAAAAATCAAGATAAGAGAAGAAAGGACTACTAACTCAGACACAGTGTAACAAAATTTCTAAAACGGTGTAGCCATTAAATGAAACTTTTCAAGATGAAGTCAAGCTGGCAGAATTTACATAAAAGAAACCTTGTCCTTTCTTCTACAGCCATGAATGTCCTTGCAAAAATCTTTTTTAAAGAGAATTAAACATCAACGTTCTGATGCCTACCATAGAACAGAACCTTTAATTCCAACCAAATTGGTCATCAAAAAGTAACTATATTCAAAATGGCATTTATAACTAGAGATATGAATTGCCTTTCACTTTATCAGAGAAAGTGTTATAACCATCTTTGTCTTTTTTATGTGCAACCATGAATAAATGTGTCTGGTAGATTTCTTATATTTTGGGTTGTTGTTTGTTGTTTTGCTTTCCTTTGTGAGACAGTCTTGCTCTATTACCAATGCGGGCCTTGAACTCACAACCATCCATGTCAGCCCCCAGTAACCGAGATGTCAGACCTGTGCTGCTTCCTGCTCACTTTGGCTTTCTCATTCTAAACGGTAGGTATGAGACACTTGACATAACGGCGCAAAACCTATTACTTGTATTGCAAAAGAAGATCGTTTCTTCTTCCCTATCTCTGTTAAGGGTAGAATGTTTTTTTTTTTGTTTTTTTGTTTTTTTGGTTTTTTTTTTGATGGCCTTACCAAGACAACTAGAGATCAAATCCCAGAAAGCATTCTTGCCAGAGAAAGTTCACCAACATTGCAACAGATAGCAAAAAGGGTCACACATTCCCTTCTGTTGTAGGCCTCTAACAATGAATCTCAGTCATTTTGAGTGTCTGATGTAACATTATTATTTAACAAGGAAATTATAGGGATAACTGCGGACGTGGAAGAGATTACCAAATGTATTTGCTGATATGAAATTATTGTATAACAAATGTATCTATGTTACTTTTTACAAAAATAAAATTCAAGTATTAACATCAAGTTCAAGGTATACAAGTATATTTGATTTGTAGAATGTTAATAGCAAAAGAAAAGAGGGGAATATGGCCAATAGAGAGTATTTACTACAGTGTAGTTTATACTCAGAATAATGCTGTGCCAACAATTTGAACATTGGTTTACCAAAATTTAAAGATAATATGAAAATCAGTGCAAAAAAAAAATAAAAGTCTTTCCTTCAACGTAGCACTCAACCTCCTGCCAAATTCCTTGTCCCTGTAAATTCTGATTAATTCTGCAGGTCAAGCTCTGTTTGATGGCTTTGTATTTCCTTGTCATTAAGCAATGGACAGTGTGCCACAGAGTGTGGACCAGGCGTGTATTTCAGCACTGAGCCTGGCTCTATGGCTTGTCAGTACACACATGTTTTTATTGTGTGGGAGATATGTAAGGCATGCAAAGGTATATAGCTGAACTCCATTCCTCAGGCAGTTTAAATCTAGTTAAAAAGAAGTTATGCGTTTATAAACATTACCAGTAAGACCCCATATCAAATCTCCTTATATGCTTCTTGTGTAACTGATGCTTTTCATCTTTTTTCATGATACTACTAAAAAGACCTATCAGATAACATAATTGATTGTTAACATAATTGGTTCATGTGTACATAGCTGTCTTCAGACCAGCACCTCTATCTCTGGATTAAGGGTGTGTTTGAAATAGTCTCACATCTCCTTTAATACCTACCAAAGTGCCTTAACACAACAGCTGTCCAAATATTATTTGCGGACTACTTGTAGCCATAAGCTCATACCAAAATAAACATGTGGCACTGTGCTGCTCATCATTTTACAACTATGAAGGCTGAGCTCAGTTTTGTTGAAATATAAAGGGAAGCTGGCCAGCTTCAGATAGACTCCAATGTAAGTGCCTCTGAGACTCAGGATTTAATTTCTACATCCTATGGAAAGAAGCCAGTCCCTGTATGCATCTCAAAGCAAAGAGCAAAGCCAGTTGAGGTTTCAGACTCCTTTCTAACCACAAAATCTATGATTTTTTTTATAAAGTTCATATTCATTTAAACAGGAACTGTTTGTGTATGAACAAGGAATATCCTGGGTTTAAGATTTTAAAAAGAAAGCGGGGGGGGGGGCTATTTCAAGCTCAATCTAGAACTCTATCGAGGCTCAAATCTTTTCAAATAGC